TATTACTAGACTCGAAAGAAAGCTCAGGGTTCTGGAGCTAGCTGGCATGGGGCAAACAGAACACCCCTGAGCACCAGCAGAAACTGAAATGATGTCAATGATGTTTGCTGGGCTCTACTCGGTATGGCAAGGGATGATCACAGCTTGACTATTACTGTGATTAAAACAGTAGCTTCGCTTATGCGTTAAAAGCCAAGATGGACACCCTACCATACCCCCAAGGAATGGGGAATGCTGCCTGCTTGCTGACAGTGTCTCTGCAAAAGCCTATTGTTCTCAGGACAGAGAGTCAGAGGCAACAGAAATAAGGCGAGGCAGCCAAGAGCTGCACTGGCCATTCTTCCCCTTACAAGAACAAATATGTCTCCATGGTTAGGATAAAAGAAACACAGCCTAAACGGAACTGGTGGTTGCCGTCTAAAGTTTGGTGATATTGAGAGTATTTGGCTTACATCAACATACCATGCAAAATTCTAAAACATTTTTTGTAGAGTTGGCAGCTGAGTCGGGGCCTTCTGCATGCTAGACATACCCTCTGTCGCTGAGCTCCATATAATAAATGGTAACATTACAATGTCCTATAATATACTGTGCTTCGCCAGGTAAAGCTGGTGCTCAGTAAATAACTGGTTTACACGTTGTTCTGTAGAAGGCAGTACTTCTGAGCAGAGATCATTAACTCAATGAAGGAGAGATTCTACATCCTCCGGGAGATGCCCTTAGGTGCTGTACATACAGGACATACACAATTCAAATTCTAAACTCTTCGAAGACTGTGCCGCCATTATGCAGAGTAAACGTTCATTAGGTTCTTTTCTTCCTTTTTCTTGTTGCTTTTTGAGACAGCATCCCTCTATGTAGTCTAGGCAGTCCTCGAACTCAGAGATCCACCTGCCTCTGCCTCCCGAGTGCCTGGGATTAAAGGTGTGCGCCACCGCACCCAACCAACAACAAGTTCACTTAAGCTCTCCTAAGGAGCGGCTGCTCAAGTTCCAGAAGCCCATATGCTGTGTCGCCGTGGTGGTCAAGCAGCCACCTGCCCGTCGAGAAATGCCCGATCTAGCTGAACTGCACTAACCACCACTCACTCTCTTCTGCCTGGGGCACACCGCGGCCACTCTTGACTGAAACTCCTCGAGGGCCGTCCTCAGCTCCTCCCACCTTCCGCTGTCTTACTAGAAGAACGGTGGTACAAGCCAAAACATCTATGGCAGGCAAATGCCTACCAACCAAAAGCCCATTACACACGATTACATCTCCCCCCCCCCCCCCCCCCACAGGATTTCTCTGTGTCTTGACTGTCCTGAAACTCGCTTTGTAGACCAGGCTGGCCTTGAGATTCACTCAGAGAGCCACCCGCCTCTGCCTCCCAAGGGCTGGGTTTAAAGTGTCCGCCACTAGTCAGCACTATAGACTTTTTAAAAATCTTTTATTTGTTTGTTTGTTTAGTTATTTATTTTTTTTGCGGCGGGCTACACTTTAACACAACCTTTAATTGTAAATTTTAATCAGTCATAATAAAAATTATGATATAAAAAGGTAAAGTAAGAACAGCCAAGGTTTTGATCTGTTCTTGGCTTATCTGTTTAGAGCACAATGGTGGCCAGGCTATATGCTCTGTATCAGCTCCTATGCAGACGACAGACACAGCTGTGTGTCACCACAGATGTGACAGACCCAAGTTACAATGCGGCCCAAACCAGATGATGTCAAGCATTTACTTAACACTCTGTCTGCTTTTAATCTAGGGAGAGAGCTCAGAGGCGTAACTGAACTGATGAGTCCCTCTCTGTTGAACCTGGGCACTCATATCTCCTCTGTAACTATCCTGGCAGGAGTGAAAGTATTCTTTTTCTTTCTTTCTTTTGTAGTTCGGAGGACTGGAGCCAGGGCCTTCGCATGCTGGGCAAGTGTTTGACCATTAAGCTCTATCCATTAAGTTTTGGGTGGGTGGGGTTGGAGACAGGGTATCCTATATAGCAAAAGCTACCCTCGAAGTCTCTTTGAACTTCTGATCCCCTTGTCTCTCGACCCCTAAATTCCTGGATCACAGGCATGCATCACCATACTGAGGTGTTTTTGTTTTTGTTGGGAGGGGGGTGTTCAAGATAGGGTTTCTCTCTGTAACAGCCCTGGCTGTCCCGGAACTGTCCTGTAGACCAGGCTGGCCTTGAACTCACAGAGATCCCCCTTGCCTCTGCCTCTCAAGTGCTGGGATTAAAGGCATGCACCATCCCCCACCCCTACCTGGCTCACACTGAGGTTTTATGTCACAATGGAGATCAATGCCAGGCTTCCTACATTCTAGGCAAGCTACAGCCCAGCAACAAGGACATTCTAAGAGAGACAGGCACTGTACCTCACCCCTTAGCTATCAGACTATTGAAACAAAGGCCCCAGGAGGTGGAATTTCCCTCCAAAGTCTCATACTGGGAAAGAAAAGGCTGAGTTCCTTGTGCCAGCAAAGGGAGACTGAATCCCCAAAGAGACTGCACAGAGCGCTGACAGCTGGCAACACCACCCAGGAACCAAGACAATGAGGCGCTGAAGTTGGGCGCCCCCCCCCCCAACTGGAGAGGGATTTCTGAGCTGTGTACACCTCTAGGCTGCTCCTTAAAACTAAAGCTCACATCAGAACTCCAAAGACGGGAGTTTGGTGGGGGATTGCTAGGCCTCCTTATGTGTCCCTGTTTCCTGGTATGGCTACACTGAACAAACCTCCTTGCTTCCTGCGGTGGTTTGAATAAGAATGGTCTCCATAGGTTCATATATTTAAATGCTGAGGGAGTGGCACTATTTGAAAGGATTAGGAGGTGTGGACGTGGAGGAAATGCGTCACTGGGGGTGGACATTGAGGTGTCAAAAGCCCATGCCTGCCAGCCCTAGGCTCTCTCTGGTGGCTGGCTGGCTGTGGATCAAGATGTAGGACTCTCAGCTACTTTTCCAGCACCATGTCTGCCTGCAGCATTATCACTATAAGATAATGGACTAAACCCTGAAACTGAAAGCAAGCCCCCAATTAAATGCTTTCTTCTTATAAATAAGAGCTGCCATGGTCATGGTGTCTCTTCAAACAACAGAACAATGACTAAGAAAGAAACTGGTACCAGGAGTCGGGTGTTACCATAACAGGCCTCACCATGCTGTTCGTTGGGAGAATATTGGATGACTTTGGACTAAACAGTTGAATGCTTTAAGTGGGGCTTAACGGGCCATCCTACTAGGGGCATAAAAGATAGTGCTGGGGGCGATTTGAACAGTGGGGGCCCATCTCAAGAGGGTTCAGAGAAGAGTATTAGCAAGCACCCCAGAGACCATTCTTATGGTATTTTTGGGAAAAAATGTGGCAACTTTTTTTTTTTTTTTTTTTACTAAAAATCTGCCTGTAGCTAAATTGAAAAGTGTGGGATTAATGCATTGGCAGGAGATTTCAAGAGGGCCAAGTATTGATTGTGTTACGTGGTTGTTAGTAATCACGCTTATGCAGACCTATAATGAAAAGGAACAAGCTGGACAAAGAGAAGTACAAAATGTGCAGTTTGAGGAGAAAAGGAACGCCAGGAAGTGTCATGGAGCTAAGTCCAGTGCTCAAGGAGATAACAAGTTTGAAGAAAAGCCTGATGCTAAATGGGGTAAACGGTGTGGTGACCTCAGGGCAAGACCCCAACCCAGCTAAGCTCCACATTTATGAGAAGGAATTAAAGAAAACCTTAAGCCATGAAGGAAATCATCAACAACAGAAGGCTGATGCACATAAAATTGAAAGAGGAAGCCATGTTCCAGCCCCAACAAGCAGCAGAACTTGGCAGCCTCGGCCACGTGGTTCTGACTTTAGAACCAAGGGTACAAGAAAGGGGTTGTGGAATTTCTGTCCACAGCTAAGGAAAGCCCTGAGACTAGGCAGTGTCAGGGGTGTCCCTACGTGGAGACCCAGAGAGGTCATTGTGTGAAGCTGTGAAGGTGAAGCCTGGATTGTATGGGAGACCCCAAGATGTTGGACATGCCAGAGTCGTGGGCTAGCCGCAGACCGGATGGGGAATCAGCTCAGGAGAGTTAAGCATGTTGCAAGTCCACAAAGCTGAAAGGAGATGGAAACCTGAAACATGCTTTGACATCAGACATGGAGATGCAGGATTTGGGGTTTCCCCAGCAGGCTTTAGGTCTTGCTCTGCTCCATTTTGGAATGGTAATGTATATTCTGTGCCACTGTGTTAGAAGTATGTGAGCTGCATTTTGATTTTGATTTTACATGGGGTTGCAGTTAAGAGATGGCCTTGAGTCTCAGGGACTTTGAACTTTTAGACTGCGACAGACTGAGGGGATTTTCGAAGTTGGACTGGATGCATTTTTGCATTATGACATGGCTAAAAGCCTGGGGGCGGGGCCAGGGAGCAGAATGCGATGGGCTGAATGAGAATGGTCCCCACGGGCTCACTGACTGAATGTTCAGTCACCAGGGAGTGGAACTCCTTTAAAGGATTAGGAGGATTAAGAGGAAGTGCGACACTGAGGTTTCAAAGGCCCATGCCAGACCCAGTCTCTCTCTACCTGCTGCCTGCAGCTCAGGACACAGCTCTCAGCTACTGCTCCAGCACTGTGCATGCCACCACGCTCCCCCACAAGGTGACAACGAGGCCTCGGAAGCTGTAAGCAAGCCCCCCAGTAAACGCCTTCTTTAGTAAGAATTGCCATAGTCATGGTCATGGTGTCTCGTCACAACAGAACGATGGCTAAGACTCTGTTCACTATTATTTGTCTCTTTAATGGTATGTGGGGGACAAGGAGCTGGTGTAGCTTGTCAGGGCTGCGGCGGCCCAGGCTTCGACATTAACGACTCCAGTTACACGAGCATGTGACTTCTGATCTACTGGGATTCTACTGTTTCCCATGACCTAAGGAAATGCACACTTGCAACCAGAGCAATGCACACTTGCGACCAGAGCAATGCACACTTGCAATCAGAACAATGCACACTCACAATCAGAGCGAAGCACACTTACGTTCAAAGCGTTCTTGGCAGCTTCTGCTTCGGAGCGACTGTCGAAACTGACAAAACCTACGGGCTGTGGGAAAGAGAGAGAAACGTCAAGAACAAGCAACCAAACCCAAGGGACGCCTGTTTTCTAGGTCAAGGGTGGTGTCTAACTAAGGAGCTAAGACAAAGAAATGACCACAGGCAACGGGTGGAAATAAGAAAGCCAATCCCAAAGAATCAGGGCCTGGTGGCTCAACCAGATTTCTCACGTGAATCAAAGGGATGGTGAAGGCAGTTCTTCAAGGACACAGCCAAGAATTTAGAGAATCGCTTTTTTAAAAAAGAAAAAAAGAAAATAAAAAAATCAGAGGTGGTTGGAAGGTGAGCAGCAGTGACCAGGGGACAGAGGGAAATCTGGGTTGGAGAGACGCTAGGTTCCTAAATCAAATTCACTGTACCTCAGCTTCTTCGTCTTTTAAAATGCAAAGAGAAACGGAATCACCTTTTGGTTCACTGTAAGTGCAAGGAATATCATGACACAATGGTAAAAAAGTCCTATGTTCTCACTGCGCAACCAAAACTACCAAACGAACCTTTCCATCACAGCCAAAGCCGGGCCTCTCAAGACAGCTCGGATTTACTCAGGCATGGCAGGACACTGCTCAAAGACATGGGTCCCTCCCTTTAGATCTTTGTGGGCTGCCTGCAGTTTAGTTCATTTCTGACACGGCACAGGTCAGTGACTCCGGAGTGTTCAGCTTCAAAGGTAAGAAACGTTAAGCCAGCCTCTCTGAACTGTAAGAACCCCATGGCCATCAATTCCCACCTCTAGCCTGTACTTTCTATAAATGCAATTCCTCTGTGCTTTTATGGGTTCGGTGGACAGCATGATTCCTTATCATATAATATTTCGATAAACTACAAACATTCTGTGAAGAGAACTACTCTGTAATTTTGAGTAGAGCTGGAGAGATGCTCAGTGGTTGAGAGCACTGACTGCTCTTCCTGAGAACCTGGGTTTTTGGTTTGATTCCCAGCACTAACATGAGGGCTCACAACTGCCTGTAACTCCAGTTACAGGGGACTGACACCCTCTTCTGTCCTCTATGGGCACTGAATGAAGAGACATAGAATAATAAACCTCAAAAAGTTATGGCTAAGTATCTGGATAATATAGTTTGTTTGTTGAAGAAACAAATTAGTTTCAGTATAACTCTGCTGGAGCACTATGTACCTTCTGAATCTGAAAAACGTCCTATCTAGAAACGATGGAATTAGATACCGTTTTTCTATACTAATTCCCCAATCAACTTCACCTTTAATTCTGATAACACAGAGGTCAAATCCTAGTTGAAACAAAAAAATATTTATTGGGCTTCATTAGCAAAAGGTGATCATGTTCAGAAGTTCTAAATTCTTACCTGTTTAGATGTGAGCTTTATAAGAGACCCCTCATAGCCCTGAAAAAAAAAAAAAAAGAGCAAGTTTAGAAGGAAGAAATGACAATTCCATCTTCTTCAAGTAAGGGGAATAGTCACGTAAGACTGGGACTATCAACTATGTTGCACTTCTCAATGCCTTCAAAGTTAGCTGGGGACAAACGTTACGGACAGACAGAAGATGCTCAGGGCGCAGAGCTGTAGCTACGTGTAGCTCAGTGTCAAGTCCTTGCCCAGCATACATAAAACACAAAAGCCTTGGATTTAGCCCCCAATATTGCAAAACAATACAAAACGGATAACCATACGAAAACTACCAGGAAGGGCTGAGCAGGAGACACAGCATTCCGCTGAGCTCTGCTTGCTTCCTGAAATAGCCCATTTCCACAGTGGAGTCTGATGAGAACAGGAAGCACTCCCCTATGTTACGATTCCAGCTCATCCTCAGGCGTTGAAGGCATTCCTGTCTTTCTCTAGCTTATTTCTCTTGTGCTTATTTCTAGAAATACCAATAGCTGGTAGCATGCACTGACAGGTGGATACAGGGGGAAATACACCAACTGACATGAGCAACCGCTAAAAATATCGGTGTAGAGACAGACCAGGGTCAGCTGCCCTGGGCTGAAATTAAGAGGGTTGCTAGGGATGTTCCATGGTCCTGACTTCAGCATTGTGGTTTCTGGGCAGGGTGCTGGGACTGGGTCATCCCCGCCTCTTCCCAGCAGAAAACTGAGTTACCAACTAGCTACTGTGAACATTTCCATCCAAGGCCTTCAATGCCTCAAGACTCCTCTTCCTACTCTACAAGGGGCACCTTCTCTTGGAAATCCCAGAGATTTAAAACCCTGCAGGCTTCAGGTGCAAAGGACAAATGGTATTTCACTCAGGTAAAGCAGCACTCGCAGGGTCATACCATGTTCAAGTCACAAACAGGAATCAAACGGTTTCTCTCTGCAGTCACCGCTACTGATGCATTATGGGAACAGCTCTCTCTCCACCCTCACACACATAGTGCCTTCTAGGCACATCAATTGCACTCGCACCTTTGTGGGATGTAACCAGCTGTTTCCTGAACCTCTCTCCTTCCCCACCCTCGAGTGTTCTGTTGCCACATCCCTACCCAGCCGAAGCCTCTCAACTGTCCTCCAATCAGGTTGGTCTTGAATCAGAAACCCCCATCTCTTAAGTGTCCCCACCAGGCTCTGGTGATCTTCCTACTGCTAACAAAACCTCCCTTAACTCACAGGTCCTGAATTCGTGATGCCTTCCGGGCCACATTATAGCTCCCAAAGGCCAACCTTCCAGGTTTCTTCTTGACAGTATAGTTATTTCAGTTTTGGCCAACTTTATGGTTAAGGTTAAGCTCAACTGTTAAAAAGTTTCAATCCAGCAACATTCAGTATCTCTAAAATGATCAAATTTCCATACGAAAAATGGGAAACTCCATTTGGCAGTTCATTAAACACCAATTTCCCTACCATTCATACAAAGTTAGCCTGTATGTAACATTTTGTTCTGTTGAACATTTATGACTTTTGGTATAAAAGAAGCACAAGGTTGTTAATCCCCAAGAATGCTTGTTCAAGTCCATACAGACCTGCCTAACGTGCTATTCCAGCCAATAAAGGGCAGCTACCAACAGGGCTCAAACCCTACTGCTGCATTTCAACTATAAATATGTAGTAAGTTATTTATATCGTTTTTGGGGAGGGTGTGATGCTGGGAAAAATCAAACCCAGGGCCTTGGACACATTAGGTAAGTGTTCTACCAGACACACAGTATACTTTCTCCTGACCCACTCTGGAACTCACATGCTCTGCACTTAGGGATGTGCCTCTAACTGAAGGTTACTAAAGCTGACCTACATGGAACAGAGAATGCTGGGGCCAGTTTCCTTCTTCACAGTAGTGAGAAGAGACTGCTCTGAATTCTCTGTCAGAGACCAAAGGGCAACGTTAGACTACTGTCCCAGTGAGACTGTATGCCAGAACTCTGATGTTAACTTTCTTTTGCTTATTAGCATCTTTAAAAGAAAAAACTGTTACGGGGCACTTCCTCCAACATTCTTCCTCCTCTGAAGGCTACGACGACGACACACTCATAAAGTACCTTGAATGGTCTGAAGAGCAGGTAGAGCTCCCGGGGTTTGATGTCCAGAGGCAGACCACTGACAAATAGTGTCCGGACCTAGAAAATAATGCGACAGGTGAGCAAGGGTGTGGGAAACCCAGAAGCCACTTCTCATCTTAAATCAACGGATCCATGACTCCTCTCACAAAGTTCTGGGACACGGTGAATTGAGCGGGCCCCCCCCCCCCACACACAATATAATTTCATCATTAGTTTAAAACTATGTCACGAGGCCAGTAAATCTACACTGCTACTCTAACCATAGCAATATGACAGACTTGAAAAAAAAAGTAAATTTTTCGTTTCTCTTGCTTTGGTCTCTTGTCACCGTGTCCCTTGGTGGTATTCATTACCATTATTTTAATAAGCATGAAGGTGCTGAGATTTCCTCAAGCACCCTACTCAGGAGCTGCTCTCACTGACTGCCGTTTCTTCTGTGTTCTATGACACAACCAACTCATAGACCTTCAAGGTACCCGCTAGGTACCAATGACAAGTTATTCAGGACGTGTGTCTAAACACACAAAGTGGGAGACACTGAGTACAAACTCTGTGTCTGGTGTCTACTACCATATCTGACACTGACAACATGCTTCTGGCTGAAAATCAGAGAAAGCAAGCTAGCATCTCAACTAGAGCCTCAAAGAATCGGTAGGATTTTACCAGAGAGAGAGGAGGGTGAAATGGGGGTAGGAAAGTGCAGGGCTGCCCAGTACATTCTGGGGGCAGAGTGGACCAGACTACACAAGGAACCCAGGGTCAAACCACAGGGCACATGTAAGACCTCCTGGTTTGGGAACCTGACCTGGAATCCAGAGGCCAGGAGCGGCCAGTGAATGGGCACTGCCCGGCTTGAGAGGCCAGGGCAGCCACAGAATGGCACTGCCTGGCTTACAGTCCTCACTTTCCTCAAACTGGGACGACACGACTGCACTCCTTATTAGACATTGTGTCCAATCTTTAACCATACATGGACGACGAAGAGGGAGGATATATGCTAGATTTCCAACACTTCCCATGTTATGGACAGAATCACAAATCAATAAGGCTTTTATATTGGTCCAGCACAGTACGATGTCAGCCTGTTTCCATGTTCACACATGCTGTTGTTACACAGCAACCTCAGAATTCCCGACTGGTTTCTTTAAATTTATTTATTTTTTAACTTCTATGCTATGTCCTGAAAATGTAGGATTTGTTAGGTTTTCACACACACACACACACACACACACACACACACACACACACACGCACACACGCACACGCATGCACACACACAGTGAAACCATCACAACTGAGACAATCAATCACCTTTAAAGGTGTCCTCATGCGTCCCAAACCACCTACCCTTTTAGAAACAGGGTCTCCCCACACAGACCAGGCAGACCTTGAACTTACAATCCTTCTTCCTCAGCATTCTGAGTACTGACCAGGATTCCAGGGGTCTGTGCCACCTTCATTCCTGACTTCACTTATTCCTGTAATCCTTCCTTCTAGCCCTGTCCCACCATCCCTGGGCATCACTCATCTGCTACCACTGATGAGTAGTATGTATTAATATGTATCCTAAAGTCAAAACGGAACCACAGAGTAAAAGTGCTGAGTCTGTCTCAATTCATTCATACTAACATAAAGTTAATTTCAACTATATTGTTATGTCTATCCAAAGTCCATTCCTTTTTATTACTGATTAGTATTCTGTTATATGGATGTACCAATCCACGAACCTGTTGATACAAACAGTAAGATAAGGTTTGACTTAAAAACAAACTCTCCTTCCATTCCTTGTTTTACGGCTCCGAGCACTGCAAATGTTCTCTGAGTTCTTTAAACAACGTGTGCTTCGCGGCTGTTGGACGGAGTAGTCCAAAACAGTCGATCAGGTCAAGTCTGTTGACCAAACTTCTTATGTGGTCCTCATGTCTTCTTTCGTCTTTGTCACCGAGAAAGTTCCCGAGGAAAAGGCGAAATGACTAACGAGCACACGAGGGAACTCTACTCTCCACTATGCCCACCTGCCTTCTCAGAGGGAGACACTGAATACCATCTGGGCCGTTCTGACCAGGACAAGCTGGACTAGAGAATTAACCCTATCTTCAAGTGCCTACCACATCCCTAACTCCGTGCTGAGCATGGACTGGACTGAAGATGAGCAGAGGAACGACATGGTTTGCAGACTGTGTTTTACAGTTACATCACCTGTCCAGCAGTACAGCATGCTGTGACATGTATCGGACATGTTTAAGGAGTTCACCCAAGCAGTTAACTAATGTTTCTACTACTGTTCTAAAGAAAGAGGTTCTACAGACTTGCTAGGCAATTTACCAACAGAATTCACTAGACCCCCGGGGATTGTGAACAAAAGACAACTTAATATAATCGTGGTTCATCTATAATAGTATTGTATATCAGCAATTAAATCATATGTGTGAGAACAGGGCGTGGAGATGGCTCAGAGGGTAAAGGCACTTGCCACCAAGCCTAACCACCCGTGTTCTGGAAAGAACCGCCTCTCCTGTGGTGTCCGCTGACTGGCAAATGCATGTACTCGCACACACGTAAGTGAACAGAAAAATGTGAAATGTGTGCAAGGAAAAGATAGACTTTGATTTCAGAATTTAGAGAGGGCAAAGATCTTTTAGGATACAGATGCCCGCGTCTATGAATCAGTTGTGGTTTACAAGGGCTTTTGTGTTTTCTCTTTCTATGATGATAATATTCCAATAGCATGCATTATATGTGAAGGTGTTTGCAGGTTTGTTGTTGTTGTTGTTGTTGTTGTTAGACATGGTTTCACATAGCCCACGCTGGCTTCAAACTTCCTATGCAGCCAGGGATGACCCTGAATGATCCTAGCGCGTCTACCTCTAAAGTGTTGGGATTACAGGCACACCCTACATTATGCCTGGATTAAACACTTCAGGCTTTTGTTGAGAATTGCCTTGATTTATTATCTAGTTCGTCTGAAGAAATTAGAAGAGGTCAATATTTGCATTAATATAAATTGTCATGTTAATGGAGGAAGCCTTAGGTAAATATTCTAGACTGAGATGTGAACGAGTTTTGTTTTAATGTTCCAGTAAGAAACTGCTACATATGGGAGAAGAAAAGCCAACTCTTGGTATGCCTAACTTTGCAAATCATCTATAAACACAAAGCCTCTAAACCAACTCTTGTTCAAAATGAAGGCAGCTAAGGTTGGCATTTCCTGTCAACATAGACAAAAAGGGGCATTTCCTAGAGTCGAGGAGTGCTCACCCCATTTCAGAAGCCTACCACGTTATCTCAGTCTCTCATATTTCCTGCCATGACTGAGCAGACGAAGGAATTGCTGAGGGGAAATAATTCTTCAATATTTACATTATACACTGCCATTCAACTAAAGGTTACTAAACTCAAGAGTATGATGGGTTTACAATCCTTTCTAGTCACTCCAGATTTGGTAAATTTAATCAGTCTCACTAAAGGAGGAGGAGGAGGAAGACCAAAGAAAGAAAATCCAGATAATTAACAAGGGGAAAAATAGCTTTCTAAATCCCAGTCACGCTTTTCTGTGGCAACCAGGGGAAGAGTCATAGGATTTAAGACCCATCTCATCGCCGCGCTCTCTGCCTGGGTCAGCACATAGCAATGCACTGAATGTGTGGTGGGTGTCTTTCTTCAGTCTGCGGAAACCAGAAAGATTCCCTCGCCTGCAGAGAGCTTACTGTCATAAACTCAACAGTCACCTATGGCAACAGAAAACTTAGCTTGGTCACATGGTGACCCAGCTGGAACCAAAGAGTGAGACAAACACCTAATACTCCAAAGCCCTCTGGTACCCCCGCCACCGCCCCAAATAACAAACAAATGCCTCCACATGAACTTATGGAGGGCAGTCCTTAATTTCCCAGCACTGTTTATGGACACAGATGTGCTGGGCACTGTGCCTTTAACATATACATCTTCCCTTATAAGGCAGGAAAAGGCATTTCTCAGTCAAGGACAAAGGGAAGTCCAAGAGAATGAAGCCGTTGACAGCTCCATCCCCAGGGGCTCCAATGGATCCTGTGGGCGGGACTGCTTCATTTTTGCCCCAACAGGGCTGAAAGAAGAAATGACAGCATAAACCACTCTGTGGGCCAGAGGAGGATCCATGGCTTAGCCACCATCCAGTACTACTGCAGAGGCCACAGCTGGGCTTCAGGTAAGAACCACCATGTATTCTCCTCAGCAGGGCTGCTGCTTTCCCATTTGAGCGACTGACTGACTTAATAAACTTCAAAAGTCATTGTGCGAATATGGGACTTGAAAAGAAAAAGAGCCCTTTTGTAACACAGAAAAAGCCTCACTTGAGGATGGGGAGACTCGGAGGGGTGGGGGGGCAGGCTCATGGTGGTGTACATTGGTAACCAATGGTCACACTTGATGATCATTTGCCTGAGAGTCTGTGTAGGTTTTGTTTATGACGGTTTTAAGGACTACATCCAAATGTGCTCAACTGTGTTAAATCGCGCTACAGGAAAAGGCCAGTTTTCCCTTTCTAAGGACCTGTGGTTGCACAGCTCTGCTTATCTAGCCCTCTACAAACTTTAACGTTCTCTCAGTTTACTTTTGTTCTTTTCTTTTTGACAAGGTCTTACATGCAGTACAGGGCGGCCTCGAATTTACAACCCGCCTACCTCAGCCTCCCCAGCTGGGATCACAGGCATGGTCTACACACTGGGATTTGGTGTGCCAGACTTGTGCGCACAAGTGCTCACTTGAGTGTGTGGACACATGTGGAGGGCAGAGAGTAATTTTTAGGAGTTGGTTCTCTCCTTCCACCACGTAGGTCCCAGGAATTGAACTCAGGACATCAGGCTAGGCAGTATGTGTTTTCCTCCACCTAGAGCCTATTTACTGGCCTATATTTCACATTTTTTATACCTACAAATAGACTCCAATTAAAAGAAACTTCTAAGTGTGTTTCGTGAATGAATCATGCCTCTGTAGGAACTATTCTTTTGGAAGCCAAATCCAAAGAAAAGGCTCTCTCTCAGGTAGTGTTACCAAAAAGGTTCTTTTTTTGCAGTGTT